TGCGGTCTTCATACAGCCCTAAGATTTCAGATTCTTTTTTTCCCCCTGTGAAGATGGTATGAAATTATCATCATAATAGTATTCATTACTTTACGTCAGTGAATGCCTGCTTGGCTCAGTCTGCTAACATTCAGGGACAGGCACTGGGAATGATGAATGTTGTCAGACGAGCAATTCATTTTGGCAACTCAGGTCAGCCAAGGGAATGAAAGGCACGATGGTTAGAAAAGATATTTCCATTTCTTTAATTTCCTGCCAATTTGAGAGTTCCACTGTGTTAATATTAGAGGCGATGTTTGTTTTTATTAGTGGGACAGAGCAAAATTCAAAAAGGAGGTCTTTTTTCCAGAAAGATTCAGAGTTTTTTATTTTTTTTAAACCGTTTTTCCAAAAAAATCAGTTTGGTAAGAGATCAATTCTCTTTTCAAATCATTTGAGGGCTTTTCTAATTGGCGGTCCTCTGCATTCTTTTGCCACCAGAGTAAATAACGTCAGATTACATAGGCTTAAATGTATTTATTATTCATGTGAACACATTTTTATTTATAATGTAAGAAAGATAAGAAATTTCAAATTAATTCCTGATTAGGATGACACTGAATAGCTGTTAATTATATTCTTCTGCCTTTTCAACAAAATCTCAGCAACTTGTCAGTAGTACTTTTACTTCTTGTCTTACAGTCAAGGTAAAAAGCATAAATTATAAGGTTTACATATCAAGACATAATAAAAGAAATATCTGGTCTTTAGTAGGTCTTAAATACAACCTGAGATTAAAAATAAAACGTGTATTATACAGATTCATTATTTAATAAAAACTAAACCAAAACACAGAAGAAGTATGTAAAAAAAAAACTTAGTAGACCCTTATTGCTTCCGTGGGAATTAACAGGGTTAGTAGCAGCCAGGTGGTAATTATAAAATGAAGTTGATTAATTGATCATGAGCAAGTGTCTGTAAATCAGACATTTTGCCAGTTTGCTGGTCTGGACTATTCAGGTGTGTATTATTACAATACCAAGGAGGAAATACATCAGCGCTGATCTGAAAGAAGCGCTTGTTGCATCCTGTCAATCTGGGAAGGGTTATAAGGCCATTTCCAAACAATTTGAAGCCTATTGCTTCTACAGTGAGAAAGATTATTCACAGGTGCAAAACATTCCAGACAGATGCTAATCTTTCCAGGAGTGGACACCCAAGCAAATTCACCCCAAGGTCAGAACGTGCAATTCTTAAAGAAATTGCAAAAAAACCTTGAGCTACATCTAAGACTCTACAAGCCTCAGATAGCATGTTAAATGTTAGAGTCCATGACAGTACAATTAGAAAGACTTGGCAAGTGTTTCTTGTTTGCCAGGAGAAACCCACTTCTATCTAAAAAGAACATGGCAACATGACAAAGGTTTGCAAAGTTGCATCTAAACAAACCACAAGACTACTTGAACAATGTCCTTTGGACAGATGAGACCAACATGAAGATATATGGACCTAATGCACAGCATCACATTTAGATAAAAACCAAACACAAAGCATAGGCAAAAAAAATAAAAAAAAATACTTTGTGCCACCTGTCAAGCACAGTGGTCGAGGGATGATGATTTAGGCTTGTTTTGCAGCCATATGAACTAGGCACATTGTACTCACTGAGCTGACCATGAACTCCTCTGTATACTAAAGTAAACAGGATAATAATCCCAAACACACCAGAAATCTACAATAGATGCTGCTAAAGGACGTTGGAATGTACTTAGAGTTGTAGTTTTTCACACATTCTGCATATTGGCTTTGTTTTTGTTAAATAATATGTCATGTTTTGGAGTTCATCTGAGATTAAATGCTCCAGATTTTGAGACCTGCTAAGGATAGAATACTTTTTATGAAAAGTAAAGTTCATATAATCCTTTGCAGCAATAACAAACCAAAGCAGTTAAAACTGGTGTTACGTGGCAGATTGTAAAGGTAATTACCACATCTCAGCAGACAGATCTGAATATCAAAATGTGTGGCTTTCTGTTTTCCTCTCTTCGTTTACTATTATTTACAACGATACCTGCAGCTGTCCAGGGAAGAATGAATTAGCCTGTGAATGAATCATCATTTATCCTGAGCCGAAACACTCGAGTCCAATGGAATTTACATAAATCCCACAGTAATTCTGAAATAATTTAAATCTAAATAGCAAAAGGGTTGAATAATCAACAAGTAATGAGAAGTAAAATTGGTCATCTGTTCACATCTTGCACGATCAGCTTCATCAACAGGCATGGCTGCTCCTGTTCATTCTAAGCAATCATCTTTAGGGGTCAGTCTCCCTTCTATGCAGTTAATTTTACCAAGAGGCATGAATGTTTCAGTTCACACTGTATTACTCATCACTCCTGAGACAGAGAGGCCAGATAGCAGCCATATTAATTTATTCATGTGAGCAATCTCTTTCTTTGCTGCATAAATGCAAATTTGAGCTCGATTAGGATTTTAATTTTCTTTTTATGGCAGGATCAGACTTTGAAAAAAAAAACAATTTAGGACTAAACTGATTTCAAAACAAGAACAGCTTGTGAGTCATTTATTATATTGTATTTTCATAAGGAATAAAATATTTTCAGTTACCGTTTGTGACATAGATATATTCAGATATACATTCAGCATTAAACACATTTGGGGGAAAAAGGCAAAAATGAAATTTAACAGAATATTCATATTCAGTAAAATTACATTCAGACTTGAGCCACGCCTCTTTCTTTTTTTTCCTCCAGGGAAGCTATTCTTTTTTTGTGTGTTTTCATTGAAGTAGTTTTGTTTCTGCATTAGTTCTTCTTTCTTTCTGAAGGTCTTTAAGGCCTTTTAGTTTTCTTTCTTTGGACATTGGCTGGTTTCTTCACTCATTCTCAGTCCCGTCTTTGCACCTCACCAGGTTTCTTTTGTCTTGTTTTGTTTGTTTGTTAAGCCAAAGCACTGACCTATAAATCATTTAAGCACCAAAGAAACCAAAATCAGTGGACGAACCAGTGTTGTGCATACACATAACAGTAAGCAAATAATCCATTTGAAAATGTATCTTTGGGTAATTTGTTACCAACAACCTGTCAACAAAACATAATTGGTTCCCATTTCTTGCCAAAGATAAAACAGTTTGAAAAAAAAATACTATTTTCTGACCATCAAGGCGATTCCCAAAAAACTATTAGCTAAAAATGTCACATCTTGGCAGGGTGTGTGTTATGTTCTTTTAAAAAAAAATTGGAAACTGGACAAGTAGAGGACAAAAGAAGTGTCAGGCCTAAAAAGCAAACTACAGCAGATTGCACATGGTCCTTCATTTAATCCATCTACTGTTCGCTGAATCTTCATCACAAATGGTCTTGGTGGAAGGGTGACTGATGTGAATTCCTTCTTAAGAAAGGAAAATAGGGAGAAAAGACTGAGGTATGCCAAAGTAGAAAAGAACTTGACCAGACACACCAGGAAAAAATAAATTAAAAAAAATAAATCAGGAAAAAAATAAATCATTGCCCCCATTTGAGATTTTTCTAGCAAAACATTAGGAAATATGAGGTGGCTCAACATTTTTGCACAAATTTAAAATCTAAAAAGCAACATGCACATCCTCTAAATGTTATGCATCTTTGACCTCATTACTCAACTGTTGTAAATTACTAACTTCCAAACATTTCTACCCAAAACCATAAGAGAGCCTCTTTAGGCTGTTTATCTCTCTAGAAACTGGATTCGCTTTGACTGCAGTACTAAGGATTACTATACCTTTAAAAGCAAATTTAAAGAACTTTATTTTTATGGTAGACTTGTTACAAAATCCACCCACAAATTAATCAGAATTCAAAAGAAAAATACTTATTTTACTTGAGATCAAGCTATCGTCTGGCTTGACCTAAGAACCAAATGTTTGCAAACACAGATGTTAATCTTTTATACTGATTTATTTAACCATGAAAGACATACGAGCTGTAGAAGTATTCAGCAAATTGCATCTCTGTTTATAAAATGAATGGAGATTTTTCCTTTTAGAACCAGGGGTGCCTGAAATAACTCCTTCTCCTTTGAACCTCTGCGCATGGTTGCATTTCATTGTTATTCACTCATTTGTACATGACAGAGCCCTTTTGGCCAAAGGGTAAAGCAACATCCCAAGTACGTGTCCAGCTGGAGACCTTTGTGGCAAGTCATTCCCAATCTATTTCTGTCACTGGACTAAAAGCATAAAATGCCCTCCAAAAATGATAGTTGCTTGTACATGAAAACGAATGCACTAAGACGGGAAGAGAAGATAAAGATATCGTATATGCATCTGGCTCTGGTGAATGGCGCTTCAAGTCAGGACAAGACTGTGACACTATACGACTACAAAATGTGCTTTTATTTCATGACCAGTTGTACTAAAAAATAAAAACAAATGAAAGTGTTCACCTCAGTGATTTAAAGGAGATCTGTGAAAATATGAAAGAAAAAAAAAAGAAAAACTGAAATGACTGTGCTTATCACATTTTCACAGGAAATGGACATGTTTTCACTGTCAGAACCCAATAACACTTGAGTAGCATCCCACTTCCAGTTAGTCATACTGTGTTTGACTCTTATGTATTAGTTTTCCCTCTCTGTGAGCTCTCAGTGAGAGAATTATTACATATTTCTACATGGCTGGCAGTGCAAATTATTAGCATAAGCACCACTGGTAGATGACTTTCTGTAACAAATACCAGTCTGAGTGTGTAGAACAAACACTTGGGGCAAACAATAACTTCAGAGAAGCACTGCATTGGGCTCTTGAGGAATATCAAACTGATTCTTGCATAGGTTTACATATTACTGATTCACTGCTGCTGTGTTAAGTTTGCAGGGCTTAAAAGCCAGCATCACAGTGTTTAATGTGTTTGCTTCTGTGCCTGGAGCAGTCAGCCTTACCGATGCCTCAACAGTGCCATCTTTTGATGACAGCCACTAAGAGAGCCCCTTCGTCATGCTCAGACTGAACGGAGCACACATAATTAAACATCATTTTATTGGCCTTCTGTACATTCTAGCAAGGAAATATCGTTCAGCTGAGTCTTTTCTGCTGGAATCTGGCTTTAAAGTCCGAACACTACTGAACACACTTGAGAGCGTTTCCTGCAGTTTATGAGCAAGGATCCCGTCCCAGTATTTACAAAGAAGAGAACCCTGGGGCTGTAAAATTTTCTCAGCCAAGTCTATCAAAGACAAACACATTGTGATGAGTTTCTCGTGGTCCATCTCTCTGAAACCGCTGGCATTGGGTGCCATGTCGCTCAGGATGACATGAGCCTTGCCGTGGGGAAGAAGCTCCAACAGCTTGGCATGTGTGGCAGGGTCTGTGACATCGCAACTGGACAGGAAGTGAGCACCATCCAGAGGCGGTATGTTCAGCAAATCAATGCCAACAACCATACCACGAGGCAACTCTGGATCTAAGGTAATAGGAAAGATAGTGACTTTAATTTACAAGCTTATTTTTTCTGTTATTTAAGGCTGAGCTACAAGAAAGACAAGTCTGGATATAAAAGCCAGGCTATTTCCTTGCACGATCAACTAGAGAAGCAAGACAACTCATTTGATAATTATAATAACACAGAAGTATATCAAATTATAATAGCACATGTTCTATATTATCATCAATACACGTTTCTTTTGTGAATTTTCTGCTTTTATTAATGCATCTGCCATAGGCTTCAATAACTTTCAGCTTGGTAATACATCACAGTCTATCACATCTGCTTCTGTTTTTTGCAGAGCACTGCTTTTTGTTTGTGTGGTAAATGTAGTGCAGACTCTTCCCATCAATCTGCATCACTAGGAATAAACGCCGACATGATGGATATTAAGACCAGCTTTGGTTTCTGAATGCTAATATTCAAACCACACTGCAGATATTTAAAAACAAAATCAATCAATATGACATTTTATGATGCCTATATAATCTTATTAGGAAGCCACAATACTTTACGCTTGGAAAACTACAGAAGCCCTACGCAATAGGGAAAAATCGGACAAAATATTGTAAGGTTGGGCTCAATGTCGTCCCTGACATACAGTCTTAGCAAAAGCACAAACTCTAGGTTAAACGTTGTAACAATCATATCATGGCGCCCCTCCCACAAACCTGTGTGATTAGACACCTGTCCTCTCACCTGTCACATCTGAATTGACCCTCTGGACTGCCACCTGGCTCCAGGCTCCAGGAGCAGCTCCGCAGTCCACCACAGTGTATCCAGGCTGTAAGAGCCTGAACTTGTCATCTATCTCCAGAAGTTTGAAGGCGCTCCTGCATCGAAAGTTTTGGACCTGGGAAGCTTTGACATACGGGTCTTTAAGCTGCCGTCGGAGCCAGCGCTGCTCCGCTGGCGTCTTACCCTTCAGTTTCTTCATCAAACACAACGAGGAGTGCAGATATCTCCTCTGCAAGGAAAACATCCACATTGTTATTACAGTGCGCAGTCACGTGTACCACATGCTGAACTGCGCTTGCGTCGAAATACACGAGCCCCCCCTCCTCATTGGTTAAGGGCAAAATCGTTAGGTGCGTGCCTATATACGTCCCCTTACTACAAAACATGTACACAACAAGTGTTCCTATCTGGGACAGATTGAAGCTAATGTGCCTAATTTATTTTTCCATTTGTTTTAAGTTTATACAATACTGAGAAATCCTAGGTCACATTTCTTTATTTATTTTTTTACTGTGTACAAAATCTTTTAATGTGTGAGAAGACAGGCAGGCTATATTAAGCCAGTTCAGCATCCAGACTCTTATTACAGTGCTGTAATATGTGCAGAAGGTGTGACACTGTCAAAGACAGACGAGGCCTCCCCTAATGGAATAGATTGCAGCATATGTAAAGCACAAATGCTTTCCAAAACGCTTTGGAGAGTTTGATTGGCGAATAACACATTGGCTCACCAAGGTCACCAATTCGATTCCACTCTCTTTGGGGGTTCTGTCAGGAAGAGCATCTGATGTAAAACTTTACCAAATCAAAACATATGGAGCTACCAGCTGAGGCAAGTACCATGACATCCAAGTACAGGAGACGAAGTGGCATTTCTTCATTTCCCCTGCAGTGATTTCACATTATGGAATGTTGTATGCTGTTAAATGTAGATTCATTTGAGGGCCGGGAGACTGTCAGTAATGATCTTTACATGCAGATAGTTCTCCAGATTCTCTATAGTCCAGCCATTCATCCATTTTCCTTTGTTTATTCAGTTGTTTATCCGGTTGGGTTTCTCTATAAACTTGTAATAATAATATGGGCCACAAAGATGATTTGTTGCAATTTTAGATTGGAAAATGTTCTTCAGTTTTTGAATGGTAAACTGAACCTTAAATTTTACAGATTTCGGATGGAATCTTTTTTTGTAAGGCATGACTAAAGTGCATTTAAGTATTATTGCTTTTCTTATTATTACTAATAGTCTATAGACTATTAGTAATAATAAGAAATGAAAGCAAGTAAATAAGCTTCTAAGGCCTGGATGACTGAGAACCATCAGAGACATAACAAAGCTTTTAGAAGCAGTTTTTGTTATATTAACAAAATAAAAATAATCAAGCAATAAATTACTGATAACCTCCATTTGTTGTTGGGTTATCGTGAGATAACACGTGCTGTAACTGCAGCATTAACCAGCTGCAGTTTCTAGTCGAACACATTTCATGGTAACCACGGTTAACCGATCTAGCAAGAAAGCGATGGACCCGGTGAGCTGAGTTTACGTCAATCGTACTCATCCACGCTCTTACGTATCAGCACATCACGTGACAACCGATCTGCAGCTGCACGCGGGAGTTGTTGAACTCAAAGTATACTGTTTTTATAAGCAGTTTTTCGTCTTTTTTCTTTCGGCCACCGCTGAGAAAAATTTCCTTTTTTTCAAAACGCTAGCACAGTTTTACTTAGCAGGTAACCATGTTAGCACACAGCGGAGTGTGCAGCTGATTACGCTTACTGTGCAGCACAGTGGAGATACATTGCGTTAGTTTAACATCAGATTTCTTTACCTCCACACTCAGGCGAGATGTTGAGCTCCAAGCTGCTGACCCTTGTGCTCGTTGTCCAGCCGGGCAGAGTGCTACTGGGTATGAAGAAGAGGGGCTTTGGTGCTGGAAAGTGGAACGGGTTTGGGGGCAAAGTTCAGCCTGGAGAAACCATTGAGGACGCTGCTAGGAGGCAAGTTTAGTTGCGTTCGACATTTTTTATATTAAAAAAATAATAATTATAATAAAAATAGACTCACGATTTAAATGATTTTGAAATGAAGTGGTCTTAAGTGTGACGAAACTAATTGGGAAGCTACGATTCTCATGGGGACCAAAATTGGACAATAGAAGACTGGAAAAATGTCAAATGGTCTGAGTCTCAATTTTGACTGTGACACTCAGATCATGGGGTCAGAATTTGTTGTAAACTACAGGAAAGCATGGATCAATTCTGCCTTGTATCAGGGCAGTATTGGTTTAATGTGTGGGGGATATTTTTTTGGCACACTTAGGGCACCTTAGTACCAGCTGAACATCATCTAAATGCTACCAGCCTACCTGAATATTGTTGATGACCATGTCCATCCATTTATGCACCACGGTGTGCTCATGTTCTAATGGCTCCTTCCATCAGGGTAATATGCTTCATCCCAAAGCTTAAATCATCTCAAACTATTTTCTTGAATCCCCACCACAGCATGTTTGGATGTGCAACTATGTTTTTTTGTTTGTTTGTTTTTCTAGTTGGGTTTTTTTTGGGGGGGGGCACAAATTTCTGCAAACACAAAGCATCTTTTAGGGTTTTACAGGTGTAATTTTTATAGCCCTTGTGGTTTTATCTAAAGTAGTTCTAAATCTAGTTTAATCAGTTTCACAGTCCATATTATCACATCAATATCCACTTTGATACCTGCCAGGGTATCAATACACTTACAGCTTTAACATGAACCATTAAAAACATATGACAAAACATAACACTGGGTTTGGGATTTTAAGACGAAACTCTGTCTGTGTTTGTATGCAACAGCAAAGTACCAATGTTGTGCAAGGATTAAGAAAACGACTGAAAAAGAGGGAGTTTGATATGTTTTGAGTACTCTAAGTGTGTGGGGGGAAACACATTAATGTGAAGTCTGGACAATCTGTGATCAATCATCTGCAGGAAATTTGCTTCAAAGCAAAGGAAGGAAACCCCCAAAAAGCTATCGGGCGAGTTCTCAAGCCGTTTTTCCTTAAACAAGTAGTGAGACCAGCTTTGTGTTTAGGATATTTGGATGCAATGGGTAACAAGACTGAGTTAGAAACACTTAGTTCTTCATGTAATGGTCAGGTAAGGGCAATACTGAAAATCATCTTAACCCACTTCTCAATCCTAGCTTCACTCCTTCCATTTAATAAGTCCTGGTCAGTGAATAGGCCAACACCAATCAAAACATTTCTTTTAGTGAAGGAAACTTAAGGTTGTGTTTGGCTTGAGTACTGGGGACTAAAAAGCTAAAATGAGGACCCTTAGATAACGTGCTGTGACTGAGAATATTGCTAGACAAAAGAGCTTCTTTTAAAAAGTGTGATTGATTAAAGAAAAAGAAAAAGAGGAAAACTGCAGTTTGTAATTAATAGTCCTAATCATATAAATTAGTGTCTGTAAATATGTTGAGTGTAATGTATAATATTCTGTGAAAGGAACGTTAAAATTCACTTGCTGCTGGCATCTACCAGCAGCTTTTAATGTGGAGTGTTTTCTTGGATGCTGCTAATGCATCATTTTTGCAGTTGTTGGTTTTTTTTATGATTGGGATGAATCCCCTGAAAATAAAACAAAAAGAGCTACTGCATCGTTCCAGAAAATCTGAATTTTTTTTCAGTCTTTTAAAAGTCGTCATCCCTGCCCCTAACAGTTCTTATCTCTGAAGCTCTTGTGATGAGTAAGATATGTATCAAGTGTACCTTTACCAAGATTTAACATTCTGTAAATGAATGATGACACACACGGCTGCAGCTTTCCAGCCACCAGCCAAGCACATCACCAAAACAGGAACTGACAGGACCCAGTACAGACTCTTTATGCCGGCGAGGCGTGATTGCGGATGCCGCTCAGGTGCGTCCGCCTCCTCTGCAGCGGCACCGCAGACCACGCCCTGCCACACCTTCATAGAAAGCGACAAAGCTCTTATATTAATTTCTTCTCTGACGACACATTTTTATTAGAAAGCACGTCACATATTAGTGTATTAATGGTAAGTTCATGGTTAGTTACTTTTTAAATAAAGATGGGAGAGAATAAAAGTACTACAAATTTGACATTCAGTCAACCTGAACATGCTATTTTGGCAGATTTTACTACCCTCTGCAGTTTGCAACAACACTTTGACCCCGATCTCAATGTTCAGCCCACAAGCTCCTATCCAGACCTTTCACTCTCATACTAATTTTTTTTAATAATCTTAAAATGTTTTGTGTAGAGGGTAAAGCAAATGCCACAAACAGATTGTGTCCTAGAACCACCGATATCATTACTTTGCCATTTTTAGTTGCTTTTAGTGCCCGTGTGACGTCTACGGTGAGCTTATTTTTAAGACCCACGTAATTAATCATTTATTTGATGTTTTTTCCTTTCAGAGAGCTGGAAGAAGAAAGTGGTCTCACGGTGGATGCACTCGACAAGATCGGAAATATCAAATTTGAATTTGTGGGAGAAACGCAGCTACTTGATGTCCATGTTTTCAGAGCCGACACATATAATGGAGAACCGACAGAATCCGATGGTATCACATCCGCTGCACCACACTGAAAAATGAAGAAATCCAGTGGTATCATAGTTTGAAAGTGGTTGAAATGAGAGGAAGCAGAGAGCTTGGGGTGGTGAATTTTAGTTCACTGTTGCCTATACGTTTCAGATAATGGTGTCCTATGAGAGGATATGCAAAGATTGTTTGTTGCACAGTGCCTAACAGTTTGGCACGAAAATATTTTATATTTCAATATATTTATAATAAATATAATTGAGTCCTAATAACGTGATATAAACCATTTTTTGTAACTTACTGTTAAAGTGATGTTTGACCCAAACTTATATCAACAGTTCGTTTTTCATATCTGTCACATTTCTTATTGAAAATAATATTTTAAAGGTTTTATAAAATCAAATTTGTTGAATATGCAAATCCATCCACTTTGGTGACCCCTTAATAATAAGTGAGCAGCCGAAAGAAGCTTTTTAAATGGAGTTGAGTAGAAATGTTAAGTAGCAAGGAAAACTATAATATAGCTAAGCCATAATATAGCCAGTGCAGTACTGGAGCAGATGTTCATAGTTAAGAGTTCTGTGAAGTCTGTGAAAAGCATTTGACCTCCTCCTGACATCTTCAGGGGGCTTTGTTTTGCAGGCTCTTCTAGTTTTATATTTTTCCAGCAAAATTTAAAGTGAAACAAGCAGTCTGAGCAAAGCAATTGAAGCCAAATTCTTCTAATAACTAGAGTCAGGCTCTGACATTAGGTTTTTTTGAAATGTTGGCCCACTCTTCTATGCCAATCTGTTATAGTGCAGCTACACTGGGGGGGTTTCATGGCTTTTGAGTTCCATGCAAGGTTTATGATAGCAAGAATAGGAATAGGCGTGATGTGCAAGCACTTTGTGGTTTTTGATTTGCACTACTCTAGGGAGGACCGAGTAGTGCAAATCAAAGGTAAGGTACAATAACTTACAGCAGACAGAAGATTGGAGTGTGTGTTCAAAGCAGAAGATTACAATAAAGGTTTGATTTTAGTGATGTTTCTTATTTGAAAGAAATGAGTACATGAGGCTAGAGAGCTGAGGTTCAAAATTCAAATGCTGGTCAAAATAACTGCAAAACTCCTCACAGATTATTTGATGTTGCAGGGCTAATGACCGATCTCCTTAAAGAAGCTGTCAGGCCTGAACACATGGGCCTCAGTTTTGAGATACTTAAAGACACTCAGTCGGTAATGATAGTGAAAACTGGTTGATAGGTGTAATAGGAAAGTATAGCTACATATTATCAGATGAGCAGCAGTAAGAAATATGAGATCTCTAAAACATGAAATATGTAATGAAAGCAGAAATGGTACAAGGGTGGAGCTTTGAGAGATGTCACATGGGAAAAGAGAAGATAAAGACAAAGTTATTAGAATTTTGAAGTCTCTGTCAAATAACTAGTATTAAATTTGAGAGCAGTGCCAGAAATACCAGATCAATAATATGTTAATCGGTTTGGTCTGGTCACTGGTATACTTTTTTTTTTTTTAAGTACAATGTCCCTCAACCAGCTGAAAAAGCTGGTAAGCAGTAGTTTTGTGAGTTATTTTAGAAATTAGTAGAAGTCTGGAAACGGGTCTGCAATTGTCTAAACCAGTCGTATCCTGTGTTGGATTTTGTTTGACCATTTGACTGTTTCGTGTGAGATACACAGAAGTAGGAGCGTGTGTAGTATATTTGTGAAGTGGAAAGAAAAATCTATAATTGTGCTCTCAGTGGTAAAGATTGTAAATAAACAAAGAAGAGTTGATGCCCTTAGCAGGAAGAACTTGCAAGGATGTCTTTCCAGGCAATTTAGCCAAGGTCAGCAAGGTGAAGTCTGGAGGCGCTCGGCAAACCTCAGCTCCTCGAGCGTTCAGGCATTAGCAGTGAACCAAAGAGTCTGGAGGGTAAAAGAAGTCAAACAGTCAGGAGGTGAAGTGATAAGTAGAGGGAAAAAAGCTTAACTGAAATGTGG